TTAAATAATAAGAAAAACTATTTAGGTCTCACAATATGAGGTTATGAGGCTTCCATTTCATTCGACCAAGTGTAAAAGTTTAGTTACAATTCATGAATTTAAGAGAGAAATAATGAAGAATGAAATTTGGAGGCGTTCTTCCCTGTTCTAGGGTTCTAAAATATCTATTTATATTTGTTTCCATAGGTAGTTAATTTAAATTCAGAAACTGGAGATTCGTTTGTGAAAAATGCCTATGCGTACGTGTTGTATATTTTCTTGCATGCGCGTTGTTCATTGGTCTAGGCTCGGTAAGTAAAATTCATGCCCGTGCACGCGTGAGAAAATTTGCCTGCGCGCGCAGGTTTGTCTCTGAACAGCATTCAGTATTTTCGTTATAAATTTCTCTACAGGTATCTGATTGAGCTGATTCAAAATATGTTGGAAAGATAACTCAAATAGATACAACTTTTCTTCAAATATAATCTTCCAAATCGATCATTTGCCATGTCAAAAATGGGTCTCAAATTGAGATTGAAAATCCGACGCATAACCTTTTCGGCCAGGAGTGGATATGTGATAATAATTTGATTGTACTTCATCCCTTTGACTTCTTTCTTCATCAGATTGACCTCTAACACTCTCAAATCTTTATCGTGAGGTTCCACACAATTTTTGAGTATTTTCATTTCAGTCCCCAAACTTCGTTTTCTTTCTTTTTGACCATTGTTCGCTTATTTTCTTCCAAATTATGTCATATCCATAAAATTGCCACATAAATCAAAATATAACATAATAAGTATATTTTGGCACTAATTAATCATACGAGCACATAAAATAAGGAGGGAAAAATTTTCAATTTACATTCCTATCAAATTCCCCCAAGGCCTTTGCTCGTCCTCTAGCAAAACTCAAATTTAATTCCCTAAAAATACCCAGGTCGTAATGTCATGAATATAGAACCATCAAATATTTTCAAAACACATAAGATATCATGAACAAACATTCCCACACAACTCATAATCAATTAGCAAGCATTTGCATATGAGGATGAAGTAAACTAAACATGTAGAC